CACAAAATATTTTCTTTTTTTTTTATTATTTTAAATTATTTTAATTGCACAAATGTATATTGTTTTACACATATACAAATATTTAAATTATTTTATGTTGACGAGCGTTTTCGGTCAACGGTTGAGATTATAAATGTCGAAAATGAAAGATTGAAAATGAAAGGATGGTTCGGTTTATTTGCGGTTTTATTAGGCGATCACGAGGTCGGCCTCTCGTACGAGGTCGGCACGTGCGATATACTTACAATTCTTACAATGAGTTTCAATTCTTACAATGAGTTTCTTACAGTTTTAGAGAGAGAAAGTAGAGAGAAGACAGAGTTAGTTGAATTTCAACAACCTAAAATAAATGAAATGAGCTGCTATTTATAGTAGTCTTTAATGTGGCACTATTCAGCTACTGTTCACCGGTCTTATCGCACAGTGACCTTGAAGGGCAGTCCGGCATCCTTCTGACATGCATTTAATGCGATTTGAGGTTTCTTCAATCATTACCTGTCAGGCATTAAATACCAGCATGGGGGGCATTTAATGCTGGTAGACTTTACTGATAGGCTTACTGATAGGGTGCTAGGCCATGATTACTTGTCCAATCGTCTAATGATGGCCTCCCAAGTGGGAATATTTTAATGCTCATCGAAGCCTGTGCTTTTCCCCTGATCGGCCTTCTCAGACTTTGAGGCCGACACCTCACTCGAGGGTGTTCACGAGACTGAGAATAGTCTTCTTTCTGTCCGGCATCCATCCAGGCCGGCCTTTGTCCTGACTGAGCCAGGTGCCGGACTGGGAGAACGTTCCTATGATAGTTTTGTACGTCTTTAATCCTCGGTTCAGCTCGGCACATCTTCACCAGACCGGGTTTTCAGCTCGGTCATGAAAAGTTGAATATCCGGTTCAATCTGGGCCAACTCGGCTATCAACATTATATATATTACAAAATAAAATTATATCAATAGTATTACAATATTTTATTACAAATAATAAAAACTACAAAATAAAAAATCTAAAATTATTTATCATAATAAATATATTTACTAATACACATATACTTAATTTATCAATAATATTATATTAAAAGGCATAAACATAAAAAAAAAAAAATATTGTATCGAAGCTACGCCAGATGTAACGCAACATTATTCACAATCGCAAAGTAGCGCAGATTTCTGGCGCTGCGGTGGAGGCTTTGAGCACAATTTCTAGTGACGCTAGTCCAATGCAGCATTGGAGAGGCTCTAACTAAAAAAATATGCCAAGTCCTAGCACGATCTCATTCCAAGAGAGTAATTCTATTTATAATTCTAGGATAGTTACAACTTACAATAGTTACAACTTACAATAGTAAAACTTTTATTACTCCTACTTAACCTAAGTTAATATATGATCTCCTATTCTCCTTGATATTAGGAGATTTATTCTAGGAGATTTGATACCATATAGTAACACCTTTCTAGTTCTTATATAAATACTTAAATATTTATTTTTTTCTTTTTTTGGTTCTATTTTCTTAAATTTTCTTCACACGTTCACAATTTTTCTTCTCTCAAAAAACAAACAAAAAAAAAAAGGAAAAAAAAAAACAAATGAATTATTGTGATATTTGCCTTGGCTTACGAGATCCATATCCCACAAATATATATTCAATCAGTGGAGTTTGTTATGGAGATGCCAAAACCATAGTTGCTCTCACGAAAAAAATTGATAAATTCAGTGTTAACTCATCTTCTTCTTCACCAAATTCGGCCAAGGTATATATATCGCGTTCTCTTTTTCTTTAAATTAATTAGTATAGCTTGCAATTTGTTGTATTTTTAGTAGGCTTTTGTTAGGTCCGTCTAATTATTACTACCTCCTATTCATTATAAATGTCGTTTTGCTTTGTTATGTGTCTAGATACATAACAAAATGGATGAATCAAAAAAGTCAAAACGACATTTATAATGAATAGGAGGGAGTATATTTTACAATTACAATTTTTATACTTTTATCACAAGATGTGATATCATTATTCACATGCCCTGCACAAAAGTATTTTTGACTTTTTATAGCCAACAATTTAATTATTATTATTATTATTATTATTATTATTATTATTATTATTATTATTATTATTATTATTTATTATATATTATTATTATTATTATTATTATTATATGAAATCAAAATGATTACAAGAAATTGGAGGGGAGCCGAGATACTATCTGGGCCCCCACTCCTTTAGCAATGGAAAAGCTAATACGAGTGAAAATATGAGGAGCGGCACGTGCTCCCGCATCCTGAGATACAGAATACTTCTGTATCCTCTTGAGTAGGGCGATGGCCTCCGTGTGCAACTCCCCCAATGAAGAGAAAGAGAATGGAAGAAATCCATAGCCCTTAGTTGCACACAAGGCGTCATATTTCGCCCGTTTGCGCTGAGCGGCATCAACCACAACACGTCCCGGAACGAAGTCAGACATCCCGAACTGGGTCAAGGGCGAGGAACCAGTCAAATCAACGCAAACGTCAAGCCCCCTATCCCATGAGTAAAGTAATAAGTCAGCAGGGCGAAGTGGTCTATCTTGCGCATCAAGGAGTCCAATATCGACCTCCTTACCAACAGAGATCCCGGAGCGCAAGCAGACATCTGAAAGAGTATCGCGAACAAGGTTATGGCGATGTTAATGCCAACAACACCGGCACATGACACCGCATGATCGCCAAATATATCCCCGTCAAAGACCCGAGAGCAAGCCGAACATGGTCTGGAAATGGAAAATAATGGCACACCTAAGCGATAGCATAGCACAGCACGGTAGGTCTTTCCATTCATCGTTTGCCCTAACCCAGAAATCGGGACTGCGCGGAGCCAATCTGATGCGTGATCACCCTGTTGCGACTTCCACAAGGCCACCTGCCTAGGAGATAAGGAGAATACAGATTCCGCCGAATCGGTAACTTGAGTGAAATATATATCTGCCAATTTCTTCATGAATTTGGGGGCAGCAATCTCACTAGAAGCACCAAATAAGTCAGTATCTGCAACCCTGTTAAACACCTCCAAAGCATCACCAAAGGTAATACCCGCATCAGCGATCCCAGAAGAAAGGAGAAGCTTATCCTGTAACCCTGCAGACTGAAGCCTGGATGCCAAAAATGCATAATTTACCACGTCCCCAGCACAATAGACTCCCAGGCCTCCAAACGAAAAAGGCAAGGTGGCAAGCCGCCACTGCCAGTCACAAAACCCGGGACCAGACGCGGTAACAATACGCTCTAAACTAGCGCGAAGGGCCAGATCAAAAGCATGCTGCGCTGCAGTAAAAACATGGGGGGGGGAAGTGCGCATGGCGAAATAGAGCTTGGAAATACCTGCACAGGCACGGAGTAGTAGCAACTCACATTGCGGATCATTAATCTTAGCAACCGCATCCATAAGCTCAATAGTTCTGGCTACTCTCTTCATCACAAGCTGAGAACTGAAGTCATCACTTACACTAACAGGTCCCCCAAGGACCTTGACCCCAAGCTGAGGTCGAGCAATATTGTCTGGGAAGACTCCAGCAAGCCGGCTCCGAGGATCCTCATTAGGCCAGAAAACCTCAGTTTTATCAACATTAAGATGTAAACCCAACTGAGGACCATCTTCCATGATCAACTGAAGGACCTTACCCACAACCAGGGTGTCTCCCAAAATCGTGCCATCATCCAAGTACCAAGCCTGTAGAGACAAGTCAAAGGTGTCTTGAATCTTACGGACCAGAGGATGTAATGCTAAGGCGAAAAGTAGTGGGCCAAGGGGGTCACCCTGCTGGACCCCTTGGCAGGATCTTAAGGTGTGCTCCCCATAAAACAACCTGGCAGGGCGGGAGTAGCAGAACTCAACCCATCGCGAGAGGGAAGGGCAGCGAGAACGCACCTCATACAGCATAGCCTCACGATCTACCAAGTTAAAAGCATTCTTGAAGTCAACCAGCAGCATGGAAAGGCCTACTGTATCTCCACGGGCCTCTACTAAACGATTTAAAGCATGAAGAATAGCTTCTCCTCCGCTGGGCACCCTGTTTGTTGTGTTTTTGTCCTTATTTTCTTGTGTTTTATGTGTTTTATTTTGTGGTTTCTAGGTCCGTTTTTAGGCTCGACCGGTCCATTTTTTTGTGTTTTGTATATTCTTGCTCTTGTATAGCTTGTTCGTATTTTTTGTGCGTTGTCTCTTTGTTTTTGGTGTGATTAGGTTCATTTCATCGCGCACGAGGAGACGAGCCGTCCGAGACGACCGAGCCGTCCAATCTGGAAATTCCGACCAAACCATACCCGGAAGAAGAGCATTCAAAGTCAAGAATTTTGGTCCAAGTTTCGAGCGAATCAGAGTTCGGTGCGAGAAGATAGAGCGAAATGAAGGATCAAGTACGAACCGAGCCCCGCGCCCCGCACGCACAGCACACCGCGTGCTCGCGGAAACAACGGCGGGGTCGAGAGTGCCGCTCAAGCAACTCGCGTGCTCGCAGAAACCGCGGCGAGGTCGAGAGTGCTATCGCCCTTGCCTACGCCTGCGCCCGCGCCTCCGCGGATTCGCCCGCGATGTCGAGAGCTCCCCACTGCCCACTCGCGCCCTCGCGCATGCTCTCGCGAGCTCGAGAGTCCGCCGACCCCAACACCCATGCACGCCGCGCGCACGCGAATTACACCGCGACCTCGAGAGTTATTTAGTAAATGTGCATGTTTTAGTGTGTGTTTTGTGGTGTAGCTATATAAAGACATCTTGCTTTGTATTTTTGAACACAACTCTCATTTCCCAACTTTTAAGTTGGGAAAATCCTCTCTATTTCTCTTTTTTCTTTTTTATGCTTGGGTTAGGAGCTCTATTACTCATATTTTCCGGCAAGTTTCCGGCGACATCATTTTATTTTAAGTTTCGAACTTTTCCATCCGGTGTTCTTCTCGCATGCATTAGGAGAGTGGGTAATTAGCTTTAATCCTCATTACTTCGTATTTGCCCTCTTTTGCTTATGATGTGTTTCAAGGTGATTGTGGTTTAGCTTGTTGATCGGAGGAATGTTCGATTCTTGTAGCTCGTCGACGTGTGTTAGGGATTAGGTTGTGCTTATCTTGTTTAAAGATTGTGACTTTGTTTAAAAGTGTAGTCATTTAGTAGAAAGCTCGATTTAATGACCTAGGATCACTTGTGAATGTTGATGTCCCTCGGTTCTTTTTGTGTTGGTTCGAGTGATAGAGACCCCGGTTAACCTAAAGCTCTCATCTTTGTTTTTAAGTTTTCATTTGCTTTCGATTTCCATTTGCAAGTAGTGTTTAAATCAAACCCCCTCAATTTGCGAGTAGAATGTTTAGGACCTTTTCGGTTGTGTGACTTAGACGACTAGGTAGTGAACGAAGCTCCGAAGAGCCTTCCTTTGAGAACGACCCGAGTCGGGTAGCTCGGTTACCACATGCCCAAAAATATACTCAACAAAATGGCGCCGTTGCCGGGGAAGGCGAGTAGGACGCCAAGTTTACTATCTAGTTGTCATTTGTTTCCGTGTTTCTCTTGCTTTTTGTGGATTTTGCTCGTTTTTACGTGTTTCTTTTGATTATTTGCTTATTTTCTATTTCTCTTGCTTTTTCTTTGTGTGTTCGTGTACATATCATGTCTTGTTAGTTGCATTTCGTGCTTTCTTTCCTTTGCCTCGTGTGCCTTGGGTTGTTTCTCTTGTTCTTGTGCGAGGTATTACGTTTGAGGAGCCCGGATGGATCCCTATTCTCACTATTATGCCGGGAGCTCATTTCGGGGATACCCCGACAATTTTCAAAGGGAGATGAACTCATTTGGCCCGAGCCACCCTTA